TCTCTCTCCCTCGCTTTTCCAGGCAACTTACCCAGTGTGCGAAAGAATTTTCAGATGGCCAAATGGACCAGCGCCGGGGGTTGGCTGACAGGGGTTAGGACCAGCGCCGCGTTAGCGGCAAGAATTTTTGTGGCTTTTTGGGTCCATATCCAAAAAAATAGCGAAAATAAATGTCGGCTTCCTGGATTTTCTGTAATTTAATGTTGTTGCGCTGCTTACAGTTCTTTCTTCTTTCTTTTACAGTACGAAAAATTGCGCATGAAAATTTGGGCAGAAATCGACACAGGGAAAAAATTTGCAATGCCACGACGGCCCCAGAAGTGACGGCGCTGGTCCCGAAAAAGCCCTTCAAAAGTCGGATGAAGCTGAGACTTGGATGAGGGGAAGAGAAAACTGGGAACTCGTTTAGGGAAAAAATTGGGATGGATCGGCCAGTGCAGTAGAGGGTAGCATGCAATTGAATGGATTTTTCCCATATAAAACGGCAAAAACCGCCGCGTCCAATTAAGCGCCGGTCCATAACTCAGCGATAACGTAATGGATCAGAACGGTTGATACGTAGTTAGAAAGAGGAAAGACCGGGCTTTCAGCCGACTAGAAGTTCTAAGTGGGAAAATTGAGACGGAGGGCGCAAAAAGGAAAAAACGGAACATCTATCGATCCCACGGCCAATTAAGGCGACCAGTCGCTGGTCGATAGCTACAGGCGGAAGCAAGTATGGGTTAAAATGGTTTTGTCAGATGATAGCCAGTACCAGAGGCTATTCGGCAAGCAAGTTTGGTGGTGATTGATTGCCCTTTCGGGGACCAACGGGACCAGAAGTGTGGCGCGGCCAAATGAGCTGATTCCGGAGGTGAAGCGGCGCTGGTCCGGAAAAGGGTTTTAAACTGGAAGCATGCTTTTGCTTTTTTGGCAGTAGTTGGGCAGACCCTAGACCTAGCCTGAAAACAAATTTGAAACCGCTAGCGCCAAGGACGGGGTAGTTAGAGCATTTTCAAGGGATTCACCAGCGTGCACCGGGATGGGGGGCCGATAAAAAATTATTTCTCCGCATTCCACTGGCCGATCTTGACCAAATTTTACCCAAACCTTGATCGGGGAAATGTGTAATGCTCATCTAATTGCCAGCTTGGTCCAAGCCGTTCACCCGTAACGAGCGTTGTCACATCCATACCCACCATGACCGATCATACTTTACTCCTTTGCCGACTTCTGCCGAAATTTTCGTGCATGATTTTTCTTGGTGTCGTATCGTTACTATGATTTAAATGGTGGAATTTTTTAGAAATAGTTATTGAGAACTCCTTACCTCGCAGATAACATATATCGATTACACTATATTTTTTTTCCATCATGGCGCCGTAGGCGCCGAAAAATCGCGATTTAACTAACCCTAGGACCAGCGCCTAGGGCCATTTTTGGGACCAGCGCCGGCCGCACCACGGCCAAACCCTTCGCACACTGCAACTTACCACAGAGATCGTTAGCATTCCATTATTCGCCGACACTCCTACAAAACTCCCCCATTTTTCAGGAGCTCCAGCAATGATTGCCTTCACATGCTCTTCGCTAAATCGTGGCTTGAATACCGTAATCCTGGTTGCTGTACCTTGTCTGCCCGCCGATACCATTGGCGGCTGACCACCAGATGGAGGTACAGAAAAACCAGAAGACGAACAAGAGGGCCGTGACGGCGAGGTCCTAAAAATTGGGGATCTCCTTCCCTCTTTCTCCCTCTCTCTCTCACTCTCTCTCTCTCTCTCTCTCTCTCTCTCAAGCTGTCCCGGTCTGGATGTCACCATCCCTTTAAAACCCACCGCCAACGGGATTCGCTTGTCGTTACTGTAGATTTGCCATAGGACCACGTAGGAAAATGTGACGATCAAGACGAAGATCAGCGTAACGACGGCCGTAAAATAGAAGAAACCGGCAGCACTGGAAGTCGAAGGTTTTGTCGGCGAGAGAGAGCAAGAGAGAGAGAGAGAGAGAGAGAGAGAGAGTGAGAGAAAGAGCTAGAGATTGACTTACCCTCCAGCACCATCCGTCCAAAACGTGGATTTGCCTCCATCACATGTCTCCAGCTGGTGGGAGGCCATTCTGTAAATTTTCCGGTTTACGGACGCTTGGAAAAATTTTCAGAATTCTGAATAGAAAAAGCGCTTTTATTTTCCGTCTATTTAAACCCTAATTAACATACGAAAATGTGGTGGTCTTCGCTTGGATCGGCGGCTTTGTCGTATTTGTCGTCGGATCAACGCAAACGTACGTCACGTCGGCGTGCCAGGAATTGGCTGCAGCTAGAGCGATGACGAGAAATACCTGAAATATTTGGGATTAGGTATCTCTCTCTCTTTCTCTCTCTCTATCTCCCTCTCTCTCTCTCTCTCTCGCTCACTCAACCCGAAAACTCACAAATTGGATGACCCTGATGAATCCGAGTGGATACTTGAAGACGCTCACATTCAGCCCACCCTCCGCCATCACGGACACGAGTCTGGAGAAGAACATTTGCAGATGATACGCAGCGATACAGCCGGCGTAGCGAAACGGAACATTTCAATATTCGCAATTTTGGGGTATCCCCTAGATGATTCAACGTGTTTGGGGGAGACCGGCTGGGAATCAGGGTGATTCATTTTCGCTTCAAGAAAACTCCGAAAATTCCAAATTCCGCGATTTGTCCGGAAATTCATGAATTGGGTTATGGTGGAAGCTAACGCTGATTAACATAACGTATCCTGATACCCTGTAGCGATGGTGAGCATGGAAATTTACATAGACTAATGTATAGCTGCTGATCTTGCAAGGAGACATTTTATCATTTTAGTGCCGTCCAAGCGGGGACCGTGTACTTAAAGACTTCTTATCGTTCCGCATATAAGCGTAATAAGGTCTAACGTAGCGGAGCGTACTTTACCGTGGCCTACTGTAAATAAATATAAAACTGGCTTGAAGATTGTAGCTTAGCAAATCGAATTCTAGCGTGTTTTATCCTAGGAGATATATCCTAGCGGGCCGATCGTAACCTAGCGAATTTATAATAGCGCGGTGAAGTCGAGTAGCACATTTATAACTATTTATATTAGCTTTTCTACATGTAAAAATCAGCCTTATGAAACAGAATATTATCGCAACATTAATGAGGATAGTAGGATATCCGAAAAAAAGGGAAGCAGAAAGGCTCAAAGGGGGCTGAGTGGAGGTATTCGGGATCGATTCCCGATTTGCCCTTCCCTTTCTCTTCCTCGCCCTCCATACAAAGGATCTTGTTTTCGGGTGAGCGCCCGGGCGACCCGCAATGCTCCATTCAGCCTTTCCCAAAATATGCAAAAAATAGTTTCGGAACGGTTGAGAATTAGCAAAAAAAAATGGAAAAATCGAAAAAATAAATTTGTATAAGCGTCTTACATACCTAATTTTAAATTAAGGTAAAAAGGTAAAGGCAATAATTATAAGGCTACAAGAGAGAGCGTGAGTGAGTGAGAGAGAGAGAGAGAGAGAGAGAGCTGGAGAGAAAGTTATAGAGCGAGAGACAGAGAGAGTGCGATCAAAATACCACAAATATTTTGCGCATGCGTCGAATCAATATATTTGGGGAGGCGCCGGGATGATGCATGTGTGGGGGATGCATGGATGGGGCGCGGCGTGTGTCGGCGGGTGGTTTCGACTGTTTACCTTTTTCACCCCTGACACTCACAACATTTCAGTACCAACTTTTCCACTCGAAAAAAGATGGACCTCGCAAAACCCAATAATAAGACGCAACAAGTAATGCTAGCGAATTGAGTTAATTTGGATTAAAAGCGTTGGAAAAAGCACTTACGATTTCATAGATAGGTTTAATGAGCCCTACGATTTTACGTTAAAAGGAACCAGAAACTTGTTGATTGTCCATTTTTCGGGGGTGGGCACGGGGCGAAAACTGCTGCCGACCTCCCGGGGAACAAACAAGCTGATAAGCGCTACCCCCCACAACCCATGGATCGGGTTGTATTTTGTTGTGAAACGGAACGGATGAGGACATGGTAGAGAGAAAGCGGGAGAGAGAGAGGAGAGAGAGGGAGAGAGAGAGAGAGGGAGAGAGCCATCAAAGTTAATAGCCATGAGTACCTTCTAAAAAAGGGGTAACAGATTCCTCAGAAAAAATTTCTTCCATCTCACGCTCTCCTCTCTCTCTTCTCTCTCTCCCTCTCTCTCGGCTACCAGCAAAAATTTGTAAAATCCCCCTCCAAATACCTTTAATCGACCAAATCCAATCCCACCCACGATTCCTATGAGGTGATAAATCTTGGCCAAACAGCCAACGGGGACACAAATCAGCGGTTTTCGGGGGGAAAGTGAGGGAGTGAGTGGTGTGGCCCCCTGGCGGGCTATATGAGTTGTTAGGTGCCAGTCGTAGTCAGCTCAACCGCCCGCTACAGAAAGAAAAGCGGACCGACTCGAAAAGCCGTCCCGGGTCGGGTGTAATGGGGTGGGGAGGAGGGAAACGAGCAGCAGCTCAAGCACAGAAAGATATACAAACACGTAACCTAGGGTTAAAATATTACTCTCTGTTTATATCTCTTGGTACATCTCTCTCGTCCACTGTCTCTCGCGCTCTCTCTTTGTCTATGCACCGCTTGCTCTATTTCTCTCTTGCTCTCTCTCCCTTTCCATCTATATCGGTCTATCTATCGCTCTTGCTCTCTCTCGCGCTCTCTCTCTCGACCACGCTCGCTCTCTCTCTCTTTCATTCCACTTTCTCCTCTCTCTCCCTCTCATTCTCTCTCGCTCACTCTGTCTCTCCCTCTCCACTCCAACTCTCAGGAAGGCAATCTAGCAGAGACCCTTTACGAAAATCGTTCCCGATTTCTAGATTCGTCAAATTACGGCACCATTATTTATTCAAAAGTATACAAAACAAAGCCACAACTACAAAACATATACCCGTGGATTCACAAGGACAAATGAAAGAGGAGTGAGAGAATTGAAGACTTGAGAGGAATGGAGGGATTGTTTTATGGCATCTGCCCGGTCCGGACGTAGTATCTGAAAGGAATATCGCATGCCGTAAGATCGGAGAAGGCTTACCGTAACTGATCCTCCGAATTGACAACGACCAGTCGACGCTTCACCACGTGGTCGCCGGCCAGGGCGAGAAGTTGTTGCTCAGCTGAAAGGAGAGCTTGAGGGCTAGCAGACAGCATTAGGGAAACATTCTGGAAAACGCAATGGAACGAACGAGCAGAGATTCATGGAGACACTTCAAACTAAGAATCTTGCTCACTCTCACTCACTCCCTCTCTCGCTCTCTCTCTCTCTCTCTCTCTCTCTCTCTTTCTCTCTGCCTAACTCCGATTTCCTTCGATCCATAAGGAGAGAGAGTGAGATAGAGAGCGTGACAGATAAAGAGCGAGATGAGAGAGAGAGAGAGAGAGAAGTAGCAAAACCTACTATTAATGGCCGGTGTCCTTCCCAGCATAGACGATAGCCCAATTTGTCGTTGTAGATTTGGGTCTGCCTCTAGTGCCCTCCTAATATCATCCAGGGTCAACCCCCGCTTGGCCCTCCCCTTCGCGAAGGGCCCCACATCACAGCCTTCAACATGCGGACATTCCGTCTGCAAATATAGACATGAATTCCGACAGCATGTTTTTGCCATGATTTTTGAAAAATACGGTACCTGCGGGCATTCGGCAAACGGGCACACCCTCACGAGACAGGTGTACTGTACGTGAGCAGTCGTCTGGTAGCGGAACGCTTCGATTGAGACCTGAATAAAGTGTTTGCTCCAAAAGGGATGTCGATATTACGATATTTTCCCAAAAAAAATTTGGTATGTTTGCCGGGTTTCAAGATTTTTTAACGCCATTAGATATATACATTTTAGCCCTAAATACAATAGAAAATAGTGATGGCCATATTGCATTATACTACGAGACACTCCTCCGTACCATCATGCCGTGATCGGTGGATGCGGGCGGGCAGGCGAGTCCAACCAAATCTGAGGGGCATCCATCGCGGATGATGGGAAGCGGCTCTTTCTCCCAGTCGTATCTAAAGCTCAACTTGGTTGGACCGCTCTCTCTGTCTATGTCTCTCTCTCTCTTCCTTCCAGGGCCTTTAAAAACCGCCTAAGAACTCACCTCGGATCAATTGGCTCCACCTGACATCCCCTTACGGACATGTAGCGAGCTGAACATCAGTTTTTTAGCCGAAAACCGAAACTAACGTGGTATCGGGAAATGTGGGGTGAAGTCGAGAATTATCCGGTTTCCGACCACAACTGCTTCCACTGGCCGCCCATTGTGAAAGATGTCGAATGTTACCGGCTGCCGGGGCTTGGCCCTGAAAATTGATAGAATTTTGGGGTTGCGGCGAAAGGGTGGGACGTCACGTTCTGTCTCTCTCTCTCTCTCTCTCTCTCTCTCTCTCTCATTCTCTCATTCTCTCTCTCACTCTCTGTTAGGCGCTCTCGCTCGAAAAATCGAAAAACCAACCCGTGTTGGTCAATGCCAGGTGGCCCAGCCGTGGTCGTCGTCGTCGTCGTCGGGGCGGGGTGCGGCTCGAACGGCTTGGCCGGCGCACGCGCTAAGTGCACGTTATCGTTCCAGTTCACTTCCGCGGTCGGCTGAAAGGAATAGATGATCTTTCTAGGGACTAGGTTTTTTGTGCTTATTTCAACGTAGGCTTCGAATCTCACCTTTTTCGTAGTGGTCGTTGTCGTACTTGTCGCAGTGGTCGTCGTGGCAGTAGATGCTCGACTGGTTGGTCTGGCTGTCGTGGTCGTGGTTGTACTCGTCGCAGTCGTGGTTGTAGTCGTAGGTCTTAATTGAAGTTATAGAGGGACGAGAAATTATTCGCTGTTTTCTCTCTCTCTCTCTCTCTCCGAGCTCTCTCCGAGCTCAAATCCCTTCCAAACTCAGGCCAAGCAAAATAATCAACCAAATTACCGCTGTGTACTTGTCGAAGTAGTGGTACTAAGAGTAGTAGTTGTGGTAGTCGTAGATCTGCTTGTACTGCTTGACCTCGTCGTGGTCACCGTCGGCCTAGCGGTTGTTGTAGTAGTTGTGTACACACCCGTAGTCGATGACTGGGTTACGGTAGGCCTGGCGGTTGTCGTCGTAGCGTACACACTCGTAGTCGAGCCGGTAGATGGACTTCTAGCGGTCGTTGTTGTTCCCTTCGTCAAGACTTGCGGCGTATTGTCCTCGATCAAAAGCGGCAGTTTATAGGTGTCCTTGGTAGTCGTTGGCCTCGGGGTGGTCCGAGTCACGGTAGACGAGACCCCAGCCTGATTTATCAATGTGGGGAGGGCAGTTCTTGCAGACTCGAACGTCTTGGCCCCTGGGTTCCGGGGTGAACTTGTTGAAGTTGATGTGGTAGTTGTGTTGATGATCATCGGGATGGATTCGCGGACGCTCTCGCGGCCCAACTCAGAAAACAGCGCGTGCGCCGAGGCGGCAAACTGATCGGCCGTGATATCGTTGGTGGATGGGCTGCAAAAAAAGGCAAAAATAAATTGAAAAACAAAAAGAGCAAAAAGCAAAAAGCTGAGCGCTCCAGCGGGGATCGAACCCTGGTCGGAGGGGTGAGAAGCGCGAGTTTAACCAATGCGCCACGGGGCTAGCGCCGAGTCTCTTAATTTAAAGGAAGCGTGCCTGGACAGAAGTTTTTCAAGGGCGCTTTTTTCAGATGTGATGCCCTTTTAAAAGAACCTTCAGCAACTTAAATCAACTTAACTGATTTAATCGAAAGAAGCCAATTTTAACATTAAGAAAAGAATATTTTTCATAGTTATATGAAAACATATAAAATTAAATATACTGTTCCAAAATTAAAATTAAATAAATCAGGCTGAGGATAACAAATTATAATTAGAATAATTTAAATTTACAACTTAATTAAATTTAAATTCAGATATCATAATTTTTTAGTTAAAAAACCACAAATAAATTTAACTCACGGAACTTCCGGGTAGTGATTGAGCGATCGAGCCGGCGTCGATGTTAAGGGAGCGATCGGGCACCTGAAATTCAAGGTTTTAGACTTGTAGCTTGCTGGCACTGTCCCTTTAAAGTCCTAAGTGAGCGACTGCGCTACACTCCGGATGACTTACTTTGCCTGGAAGGTCATATCGTCGGGGGTGATGAAATACAGGGGGCTCGACGCCGTCTGTCGACAGCACGACGTCCAGCACCATGTCGTTGCCCTGAAAAGTGATCGTGACTAATGCGTCAGCTAGCGTATACAGGGTGTCCCAATAAAAAAGGTCACGCTGGCATTTTGTCATTTCAAATCCGATCGACTTGAAATTTGGAACAGAGCTGCGGAAGGGAATTTAAAATGTTCACAGAAACTTTCAGCCCGAACGGTACAGTAGTTTTCGAATTATAGCAAAAATAAACTTTATTTTACGTTTTTAACCTGAATTTCGCCGGAATTGAGCCTTGGTATGTATGGCATAAATGAAGCGCCGACCCTTTTTTTTACCCCAGAAAATTTTTTGTTTCGTAAAATTCGTCTTGGAAATAGGTTTTTTAATTGATTTTAACAACGTGTTATCATCCCCGATGTTAAGAAGAATGAGGGATTTAGGGCCGAAATTGATGGTAATTTATGCAAAGTCCAAAAAGATAGCCGAATACATCAAGCGAAAATGTTGGAAAAACAGTATTTTTGTTATAACTCGAAAACTACTGTACTGATCGGGCTGAAAGTTTCTGTGAACATTTTAAATTCCCTTCCGCAGCTCTGTTCCAAATTTCAGGTCGAACAGATTTGAAATGGCGAAATGCCAGCGTGACCTTTTTTTTATTGGGACACCCTGTATTGGCGAAGCTCTGCGTAGCTTAACGTAGCTTACGGTCGTCTTTCGTAGCACTACGCAGCTCAGCGTAGCTTAAATTAGGCCAGCGTAGCCTTACGTAACTTAACGTAGCATAACGTATGCTAGCGTGTCTTAACGTAGCTCTGCGTAACTTAAGATAGGCTACGGAGTATTGGAGCGTAACTTATTGCAGCCATTAATGCATCACTTTCCTCTAAAGCACACCCACCTTATACCGTATACTATCGCTGCACCGCTTGCTCTTGGTGGGTGAGGGGAAGAAGTACTCGAACCGGGTCTGTTCCTTCGGTTCGATGCGGCACGTAAAGAAGTCATAGAGTCCTGAAAATTGTGTTAGACTACAAATGACAGCCACTACCATATAGAGCCCCGGTGTACGGGAACTTGCTGTCGATCGTCACGAGAACGCCGTCGTCTTGGCATTTGTACTCAAACTTGTAGCTGTCCGTTACTAAATGAATGGCGATCGACAGATGGGCCTTCTTTTGAGCTGAAGCTCAGCCCTGAGCCTAAGCCTAAGCCTGCCTAAGCCTAAGCCTAAGCTCGTGTGAGAAGAAGAGAAGAAGAAGAGCTCGTTTTGAGCATCTTCAACTTACAATTGTAGCAGTTGTTCTCGTAGTAATCGATACGGTAGTTCGGGTTGTTGTTTAGGCGAATGGCTTTCGGCTTGGTCAGCTGGTTATTGGCCGACATGTGGCAGCCACCGTCGGTTCGGTTGAAGGACAGCGAGCGGCACGGGAACCTGAAGGCGTTTAGACGTTTTAAAGGGAGTGAGACAGGGCAGCGGGTGAGAGAGAGCGGGAGAGAGAGAGAGAGAGAGAGAGAGAGCTAGAGAGAGAGAGAGAGCGAGACGCAGACACTCACTTTTCCTCGTTCAAACACTCGGCCAGACAGTCCTCCAGGCTGCTTGTGTGTCGCACTTCGATTACCTGAATGCGATAAGTTTTCAACGACCATGGAAGGAAAATTTTTGGCTTCCACGGTCCTTTAAATTAACAAAACATACCTCTGTCACTTCCATGTATCGATCAGACATGAAAGTGAAGGCGTGGTCGTTGCCGCACTGCTTGTGGGCTAAAAATAATTCTTTTTTTGAGAGAGAGCGCGCGCGAGAGAGAGAGAGATAAAGAATAGCTCACAATCCACGCAATACCGCCAGTAGAACGAGTACCGATCGTCCGCCTCGACGAACCCATCGACATTTTGGAGTTGATGAGGCTGAAAATAAAGAAATTGTCTTAGTAATTCTCTCTGCTAGATTGCCCATGTTCTTCAGTTTAGCGGTTTTCAGGGAACGGACAAGCCTAGCTAACGGCCGAAAAACGCAAAAAAAATCATACCTGAAATACGTCACAATGGTGGTTAAAGTTATCGACAGAGGTTTGATGGTTGAGGGCAGCGCATTCGAGAGATTTGCCTGAAATCGAGGGTTTTGATGCTATCGCTATCCCTTGAAGACTTATCCTGGTGGTACACTTCCTTTAAAACCGACCTGCCATCACCGGATCTTCTCCCAACGAGCAAGCGCTTTGGCATGCCTTTAGAGATAGCTTCCCGGAAGCGACGGCCCGGAAGTTGAGCCGCACTCCCGGCCATCGAACGTACAGCGAGTTCTTGCAGCTGCTGGCTAAAAGTTGGGTAGTTTAGTGGTACTGTAGGACAGGAAGCATCCGGAGTTGGTAGACTTACCATGGGCCAAGCCGATTAGGGCAAGCAAGGCGACCAGCACCCGCATTTAGGTTGGAGAGATGAAAGCTGAAATACAGTGCTTAAAGAGAGAGAGAGAGAGAGAGAGAGAGAGAGAGCGAGCGAAAGTGAGAGAGAGAGAGAGAGCGAGCGAAAGTGAGAGAGAGAGAGAGATAGAGAGAGAGAGAGAGAGAGAGAGAGAGAGAGAGAGAGTTATAAGGAGCGAGAACATGTAAAATAATGAGCAATTTGCAAATAACTGTGGAAAAGCTGGCAAGCTAGCAGAGAAAATGTCGGACAATTTGCCTATTGCTTCATTCCACGGTCCACCCAAAAAAGCTTGTGCATACCATCCAATGACTAGCCGCTGTTTGCGGAATACAAACTGACAGAGAGAGAGAGAGAGAGAGAGAGAGAGAGAGAGAAATGCCCCAAAAATGGGGCACACGAGCCGGATATGGACCCGCGGGCTCTTCAGCGGGGGCCGGTTCCCGCTGACCCCTGGCAACCAGTCTATTCTGCGCCCCCTTTTTGGTATGCCCGAATGCATGCGATGGCACAATGGAGAGGTTTAAAGGGACTGTGAAGGCAACGTTAAAATGGTTTTGGCAATGTGACAATGTCAGATCTGGTATAGATAAAGCGAAAAAGAAGCAGAGCCGCAGAGAGAGAGAGACAGAGAGAGAGAGAGAGAGAGAGAGAGAGATAGGGAGAGAGACAGAGAGAGAGAGTGAGTGAGAGAGAGCAGAGATCATTTGGGAAATTGCAAAATTTAAAGCGTTTTGAATAGAATATCTTCTAGAAATCGGTCAAATGGTTGGCTCCAAAACTTTCCACCAGGCCGTCAATGTCATACTGTGAGGCGGAATTTGCATCGTCTCGTCCTCCCCCATCTGCACAACTCGGTCAAACATCGCTAAACGGCCCCCCGGAAAAACGCTTCTTCGGCGCGTTCACTAGGAAAGCGCCCATAATCCGTTGGATTTCCCCCCTGCTAGCCCTGGTTTTGGAAAAGTGACAGTACCACCCTAAAGAGGGTCGTAAAATGGAGTGAAGCGGAACGGAAAGTGCTACATGGGGTCAGGGGTAGGCGAGCAGTGATGATTTGGGATTTTTGAGAGGAGGCGAGAAAGAAGAGAGAGAAAGAAAGAGATAGAGAGAAGGAGAGAGTGAGAGAGAGAGAGAGAGAGAGAGAGAGAGAGCTAGAGCGAGAGAGTGAGAGCGAGAGAGAGAAAGCCATAATGGCAGTCATTATTGCCTAATTTCTGGCAGAAACCAGCTAGCTAGCGGAGAGACTTGAAGAATTTTTGTGTCGTTAATCTGCTTTTCCCATTAAGACGGCAAGCTAACAGACATCTTTGCGGAAAATTTTGGAATTACTACGTCAGGCGTCATTAACCAAGAGCTAGCTAGCAGAGAATCTTTAGGATTTTTACAAAAAAAGATGAAATGGAATTGAGCCCTCCGGGTGATGAGAGTGTCGGCGGGACGAAGCTGAACCCCCGTTGTGAGGATCGTGGCGTACTGGTCTGGATATTGGGGGAAATGGGGGGATGGCCTTGACACGGTCCCCTCCATCCCCCAACCAACAGATAGCCATCCCTCTACTATCCCCCCTTCTAGCCCTTCTAACATCACAAAAAAGAGGGGATTGACCAGAGAAGGGGAAAGCGAGAGTTCCCAAAGCCGATCGTCTCGATGACCTCTGGGGGGAGTGGGGGAGGTGAAGCCTAAGCCAAAGTCTAAGTCTAAGCCTAAGCTTACGCCAAAGGCCAAAGCCTAAGCCAAAGCCTAAGTTCAAGCCTAACCTGAGTCTAAGCCTCAAATAATCCATTAACCTGAGCCTCAACCTAAGCCTAAGCCTGAGCCTGATGGTATGCCTAAGCTACAACCTAAGCCTAAGCCTGAGCCTAAGCCTAAGTTCACCCAAAGCCGAAACTAAGTCAAGTCAAACCGAGTTTGGGTTCAAGCTTAAGTTTGAGAGGAAGCCTAGCCTGAATATGAGCCTGAGCTGAAGCTTAGGCTTGCCTAGCTTAGTTCAAGGCATAAGCATAAGCCTACGCCTGCTTCGGCCTGAGCTTTAAGCCTAGCTTCGGAAGAAGAAAACGCAAGAACAAAGTGACATTAAGCTTGCGAAGCGGAGCCACAACATACAAAAATACCCAAAAACCACTTTTTTGAAAAACCATTTATTCCAAATTTCACAACTATCAAGCCGTTCCTTGAGGCCGTTTAGTATCCGGTGGGGGCGGCGGCGACGGGTGGCTGCTGTTGATAGTTGTAGCTCGGAGCCTAAAATGTCAATTGTCATGGATTCCTCTACAAGCAGTTATTAGCCTACGTTAGATTATCCCAAATTTCAATCATTGTACCTGGTTGTAGATGGGCTGGACGATGCTGTCGCTGTAGTATGGCTGATCGGGGGCCAATTCTGGGGCACAGCAGATGCACCTGTTGATGTCCTTGTCCTCGCCGTGGCGACGGTGGCTGAGGATTAGGCCGCGGACGACGTGCTGAAATAGATCGTCTTTGTTAATTGGCCCAGAGCGGGGATTTAAAGAGTGTTTAGACTGTCAGCCTTCTTCCCTCGCTTTCTATCGCTCACGCTCTCTCTTTCTATCGCTCTCTTTCTCTCGCTCGCTCTATGTCCTTCTTTGTCTGTCTCTGTCCTTCCGTCTCTCGCTCTCTCTCTCACTCTCTCTCTCTCGCTCTTTCTCTCCCTCTCTATCTCGCTCTCTCTCTCTCTCTCTCTCTCCCTCTCTCACCGGGCTGACTCCGGGCACCGGCTGGGCAGAAATCCTGCAGCATCGGGTGCAGTGCTCCTCGAAGACGACGGACAGGCGGGAGCACGTCACGCGGTGGAGGCGGCCTACAATTGTTAGTGTCACCACCCCTTTAAAGGCCCAATACTCACGATGCCGGTGGAGATGTTCATGACGGTGGCCCCACTCGACGGACGGGGCATACGAGAAGCTCGTGTCGTCCGTGCAAACGTGGTCTGGAAAATGAGGGGATTTGGACGAAGCTAATCCTAAGCATGAGGTTGAGTTTGAGATTTGGCTTAAGCCTACGGCAAATCCGTAGCGAAGACTACGTAAACTTACTGACTACAGGATCGTACATGCTGCGCTCCAACCAGGGCAACGGGCCGGCCGGGTAACCGGGACTAAAAATATCTGAATTCCTCGGAGATACTGTAATTCCTACCCGGGCTGTGGTGGGGCGGCAGCAACCGGTTGCGGATATCCACCGTATTGAGCCTAAAAGAAATGGGTTACGGTAGCCGTGTGCGGTAATTTGAAGAAAAGGTATCTTAAGAAATTTCACAAATAGTCGTTGTTTATCGAAATCTAGTTTAGTAAGGATTTTTCAGGAGTCTAACAGCTAGATTTGATTCCAGGAGAATAGCGAATTGTGCAATTTAACGATCCTGAAATCCAAACCCACGGCTACGGTAGCGATGAAGAGACATCCCCAGAGGACGTGGGCAGGAGAAGAAGCCATCGCCGAGCCGAGGGAATGAGCCGGGGGAATGAATAGGAAAAGCCTGAGACCACGGGTCTGGCTCGTTCCATTAGACAACTAACAACATCACGGCTATCTGATCGGAAGTGGGTCTCGGAGGAAGATTTTTGCGAAATCGGCATCGATTGCTCGGCCGGAACTCGGCGTTTCTTGATTTTCAAGGAGAGAGAGAGAGAGAGAGAGAGAGAGAGAGAGAGTTAGAGAGAGAGCTTGAGAGCGAGAGAGCGAGAGAGAGATAGACAAGAAAATCGCGAGACTCGAAGAGTCACCTTAAATCTCTTTAAACTCTTTAAAAGATCTGGCAGGGATCTGTGAAGATTTTTTGAACTCATAAATATGTTGAGCCGCACCATTCCATGACGTAATGGATTAAAACTGGAGTCATCTCTTAGATCCTTTTCCCAAAAAAATTCGAAATTTTTCCCAATTCCCCAAATGGTATCTGCTAGCTTGCCGCCCGTGTGTTCCAATTTAGTGTTCTTGACTTCCCGGGCCCTTTAAAGGTGTCAAAGTTTGCTTCGAAATTCGTTTATTCGCACTTACAGGTATGGACAGATAGGCAATCGAGGACTAGAATAAACACACAAATCGATAAATTCTAGAATTGCAGGTAAGGGAGGGAGAAGAGAGAGAGAGAGAAAGAGAGAGAGAGAGAGAGAGAGAGAGAGAGAGAGAGAGAGTGAGAGAGAGAGAAGAGAGAAAGCGACAAACAAGAACTGAATCGAATGCGAGGGAGTAGTAGCAGAACCCGTAATCAATTCACAATCGGGGCTTCAGGGGCAAAAAGGCAAAGTTTCGAGGATGGGTGAAAGCTGTCATGTGGCGGGTGGGGGTGTGAAAGAGCATTTTTGGCACAAAACGGGAGATATAGCGTTAAAGGGGTAGTAAGACCAAAATCAGATAAATTCCTTAAGAATACCTGCTAAAATTCTCGGGTGCAGCTAGCATAATTTTTTGCGACATCATGAATCAGCTGAAAATTGCTTCAAAATCACAAAAGCCGAGTCGAGAGTTCGAGGCCCCTTAGTTCGAGGCCCCCTTAGGCTTAGGCTTAGCTTAGGTTTAAGCTACGATCTAGCTTAGGCTTAGGCTTTGGCTTAGGTTTAAGTTTAAGCTTAGGCTTCGTAGGCTTAGTAGACGTTTAAGCTTCAGCTTAATGATATGACATAGCGTGATTACTATCCGGGCTGCCGAGGTCGGTCTCGGCCGTCGTCGAGTGGGTCATGAATGTGCTGGTGGTCGGCGCGTACTCCTTGCCGTCGACGCTCGAGCCTAAAAATAATCAGGATTTCGGAGGTAGTCAATAAATTATGCAACAATGGCATTACAAAAAGGCATAGAAAGGGTATATTTGTAAAAAGCACCACAAGATCACCAGTTTGTCGAAGGCGGGTCTAGAAATGGCTTGATGACAGAGTTGGAAAGTTAATTTTCTCTTTCTCTCTTTCTCTCTCTCTCTCTCTCTCTCTCTCTCTCTTTCTGTCTCTTTCTCTCCACCTACCATAGTCAGACATCTCTGTGCCCTGCCCGGGGATGCTGATCGTTGACGGGACACCGTAATCCCTGCCAACCGAGGGTACAGGTGGCGCTGGTCGCACTGGACGGCTGTGGTTCTTCTGGAATTTTGGGTATTTGCTTTATTCCCACAGCTGGGACACGCGAAGCGCACGCTTTTCTTTCTGTTGCGCAACGACCGCGACGCGTTCACCACCGGAAAGCAGCGTACGCGTTGCGTATGCAGCTACACAATCCGTCGTGCCTTGCCAGACGCTTTAAAACGGTTCTCACCTGGACGGACGCGTAGGAGACGTTGGAGAGACGACGGGATACTCCATAGTACGGGCTTGGAGTGACGATGCCGTATTTCGGTTCTGAGACTTGGTTTTGGTAGGGAGAGAGTGAGAGAGAGATAGAGAGAAGAGAGAGAGAGAAAGAGAGAGAGAGAGAGAGGAGCTAGCTAGCTAGATGCTCAGCTACTCACCCTTTGCTTCAGCCGTCGGTTCCGAAATCCAGTAATCCGTCTCGGTGGCCCTCCGCACAACGATGTCCTCCTTCCGAACGTCTCCCTGACGTCTTCGGCCCCTTCCACGGCAGCAGCAACACCACAACGTCACGTGGAACAGCGTCGCCATCAGGTAGCCTAAAAAAACGGTTTGCGGTGGTTGCCGTGCCATGCCCGTCCCTTGAAAACCCACTCACCAATGAGAAACACGAGACCGTAGGCCACCAACTCTTCGTTTCCCATCTCATGGAATCGTGGGAACCGGTTGAAGTGTGTCGGTGGGGGTTCGGTGAAATTCTGCTGATCTTGCATGACTTCAGGAAGTGTCTGGGTTGTGGTTATCTCCCGTACTCGGACTGTGGTATTCACGTAGAAGACGTTGGCACGGGTGTCCTGAAAAAAAGAAGATTTTGGAGTCATAAATTCAGGAAAAGTTCGGGAAGTCCGGAATCGACCCCATCCATTAACTAGATCTAGACCGCTATCGAATTGCTTCTCGGAACTACGATTTTTTTGAGCGGAAGAGAGAGAGAGAAAGAAAGAGCGATAGAGAGTGAGTGAGTGAGTGAGAGAGCGAGGGAGAGAGAGGGAGAGAGAGTGTGTGTGTGCGAGATAGTGTGAGAGAGATGGAGAGAGAGAGGGAGAGAGGTAGAGAGAGAGCGAGCGAGAGAGCGAGAGAGAGTGTGTGAGAGTGAGAAAGCGATAAACTAATTCAAGTGAACATTTGGATAAATGCCGATGTTTAAATTTAAAGACCTTTTATGATCCCTATCCAATTGAGCAGGAAACAATTCAAGGACAAAAATATAAAATGACATTTTTTGGAAATGACACATCGGGTCAGCATTTCGGCTGTCTGGCCCGAGAAACGCGACGCGGCCCTCCCTCCCCCAAAAACCAAAACATTTGCATTGACGGCGATGGGACGCAAGATAGAGGGATGGGGCAAAACATTGGAATGTCATTTTGTAGCGGTTGGAATGATTCAATGCGCTGTAAAGGGTCCTCTAAGGGTGTTTCAGTGAAAGTCCGTCGAAAACATGAAAAACCGGTAGTGACAAACCTCGGCCGGGACTTCATCACCACTTCCGTCGACCGAATTTAGAAGCGCCGTTGTCTGGTCCACGACATCTTGGTCATCTCGGCAGTGGGACTGAGAAAACTTGTTTGATTAACTAATGGCCCGAATTTTATTTAGTTTAAAGGGACTGAAACGGCTTAAGCTTGTACCTATCAACCGCTTACGCGATAAATTCGAACGGTACTATGAAATGGCTGAACAGTATATTTTGACTTAGGCTTATTAGCCTTAAGCTTAGGCTTAGGCCGGGCTTAGATTGGGCTTACAAAGCTTAGGCTTCGTTCAGGCTTAGGCTTAAGCATCGGCTTAGCTTTCTTCGGCTTAGATTTGACTTCCGCGGCGCTACCCAAATACCCTTTATCTTTCCCAATTTCATCGCGTAACTGATTAGAAACGGTTAGTATCCTAAGCCATTAAAATATCGGATACAACGTACCGTGCACGGATCCCCACCCCGGCATAGCCGAACGGCACACCGGAAGAACAGCTCGGACGAGTGTTCCGGTTTGAGCATCGATGGCACCGAGGCGGTGGCTGTCTGAAAAATGATGGAGCGTCGTCAGCGGTGTCAAAAATACAGGGATTCCATAATACCTTAAGGATCTTCACAAATAGCTGCTACTGGTTAATACCAGCTTAAAAAAGATCCACCCACCCGATCGTCCGCACTCCGACTAAACGGCGTAAAGAAGCCGGCTTTTGTCGGGCACCCTTTCTCATCGGTCAGCTGGAAAAACCATCTCGATTTTGATAACTCCAACTTACAGCCGCCTCATCGGTCTTTGATTTTGCTGTACATTTCATTACTTCAAACGGTAGTGGATTTTCAGAGAATTGTTTGATCGTAAGGATGTAGGCTTCGCCGAAGATTAGGTTCTGGAAACAGATTTTTGATGGGTCGAGTAGTTATGGTTACCTCCACAGGAATATTGGACCCTTTCAGTTGGAACGTCATGTCGAAGGAGGGTGGTGAGAAGCTGGAAAAATTTTATTAGCTTTCTCTATCTCTATCTCTATCTCTCTCTCTATCTCTATCTCTCTTTCTCTCTCTCTCTCTCTCTCTCTCTCTCTCTCTCTCTTTCTCTCTCTGTCTTTACCTCTCCGCTTTCCGCCCAGGGGCCGCACAAGCGATCGGGTACTCGCTGTCCGAATCCACGACAAGTTTCGGATTCGTGTGCACCTCGACGTTGACTTTGTAGCTGTGCTTTTTCTAAAAGTGTCTTCGTTTGTAGGTTTCACAGAATTTTCAGCAACACCGCAACGCGCACGCCCCCGCGGGACCGTGAAATGATCGTGATCTGCTCCGAAACATCAGTCTAGCCTATCGATCACGCAATGAAAAGTGAGCGCGCGCGTTGCGTAAAAAGGAAATTGCGTCGCACAGAGAATTCTATTAGGAACCCACCAGGGTTGAAAAACCGCTTCGCGGCTTTTCAACCCTGGCCCCGTCTAGGATTTATGAAAATTTGCATAATTCTTGCCGAAAACGATGACCAAAAAATAAAAACCACGCCCTCCCTTCCTTTTTATAAGCCATTTTCACTTCCGGCGTATGCTAATTTTTCCCTAACAAAGAGGGAAGCCAAGATTTTTACAAAAACCTAATTTTAATAGCGAAAATAGCAATTTTTCGAAGATTTTATGTGTGTGCAGTCGATTCCAGCCCCTTCTTTACCCTATGACGTTTCTTCCCTACCGAAAAACTGCTTCCCTGAACCTGTAGGTGCGGAACATCCAAACGGAAGTGCATGCAAATATACACACACACAGACACTGTTTTTTTATATATAGTAAGATAAGATAGCCATTCCTTGCGCGCCCCTTTAGTACCTCATCATAAACCACGCCGCATGCGCTGGAGTTTGCGAACGGGATCGTCAAGTTCACCTTCTTCATGCCATCACCTGAAAAGGGTGTTGGAACAGTGGCAATCCGGATACCTACCGCTGGCTTGACACTCCGGATCTCTCCTATTTGTCATAATCTTTCCGCTAAACCCGGTGGTGGAGATCAGCGAGACGACGACTTGCTCATCTTCGCACACCCAGGTCACCCCTAAAATAAAAATTCGAGCGTGAAAGTAGATTAAGTCCTTACCCAGCTCGGAATTGGCGCCGGCGTTCTGCACGCTTGAGAGAACAACCTGAATGATGGGGGAATTGTTTAACGTATGAAGCTTGCTTACCAATGGTAACAAGAGTAGCATGGCGACGTCGCTGAACATTCTACGGCATGGGGGCCTTCTGGAATAGCTGGTTGAAAAGGCTGATCACTAGGGAAAGAAAGCATCGAAGCCGAAAACATAAAAGAAAAAGAAAATAATCCGCTAATTTGCCTTAATTTAATTGGGTTTATCTTCTCGTCTCTCTTCCAAATCACCTTTGCTAGTTTGTCCCAAATGAACGCTGAAATGAAGCTCTCGGTTCCGCCAAAGGCTCTCTGCTAGCTTGCCCTGATAACACGCATGATTAGACGGTTTAACGAATTCATAGTAAAAAAGTAAAAAATGCCAAAATGGCAAAACGCGAGGTTGCTTTTGCATTATCGGGGGGCAAATCCAATTTTTCCATAGATACAGATTTCTTTAATGCCGTAATTAAGTCATTTTAAAGGTAATTTTAGTCGATTTTTACTATATTCCAAATGGAAAAGAGCCAAAGTCTTCTAAAATTTCGAAATTTTCGGCGAAAATTGACCGCTATTCGTCGAAAAGTCGATGTTTTTGGGCTTTTTCATAAAAATTTTGTCACATTTTTACGTTTATG